GCCAGGCATGGGGAGCCGAGGGATTTGCTTTCCGCCGGCGGCGAGGCAGAGGCAGTCTGCTCCAGCGGGTGGCTATTCGGGGCAGCCGACAGGCTGACTGGCCGGCGTGCAAGAGGGGAGGAAGGAGACGAGGGCGGCCGCGCGGAGGACGAAGACGAGGGGAGGAAGAAGACGAGGGTCTTTGCAAAAAAACAAAACAAAACAAAAAAGAAGGATTGCAAAAAAAAACCCGGTGGATTGCAAAAAAAACAAAAAACAACCAAAACCAAAAAAAAAACAAAAAAAAACCCTGTGGATTGCAATCCGTTTTTTTTTGCGATCGCCAACATCGATCAGGGGCGCGTGGATTAGCGACGGGTCCCGCTTCCATGGGAAATCGCGGATGTCCGCCGCCACTGGCCGCATGCTGGGGAGGGCGCACTTCCCCCGATCCATGGGTTTGGCGACCGCGCGCCGGATCCATGGATTGCTGGTCCATTTTTGTGCTCCCCCGAGAGAGGGGAGCGCTTAGACGTGGAAGAGTTCCGCGTCGAGCGGGCCGGGCGGCCGACCAGCCGAGCCCATGAGACAAACAGATCGCGCTAGCGTGCGTTTTCGGAGGTCCGCGTGGAGTTCTTGGATCGACGTTGGACCTCACTCGGGCCGAACCAAAGGGGGGGGATAGGGAAAGGGGGGGTTACGAAATCTGCTGCATGCAGCTGGTTTCGGCCCCGCCGCCAGGCCCACTCCTCGACACATGGCCGCCTCCTGGCGCCGGGAGGCGCCGGGAAAATTAGCTACGTGAGCTGATGCTCACCCCGCCCCTTTGCTATCCCCCCCTTTAGCCCAGCCCGGCTTACGGCAGCGCCTCCTGACGCCGCCCCCGGTGAGTTCCGCGCGCCAGCCCAGCGCCGAGCTCCATCCATCCGCGCCGCTCACGGACGTCCGACAGTTGATGTTTGTGCAGGTGCTTTCTAATTGAGGATGGCGGCGGCGCATCTCTGGCGTTCCCTAGGAGTTTGCCGAAGTGGCGCGCAGCACCGGTACTTGGCCTTCGGCACGTCCCGTTGCCGTGTTTGGGTTGTGGGTCAGAGTCCTCGTGGTTGCTTCCTTGGGGTCTGTTCGGAAGGCTCTCAGGATGTTTTTGTTCCAGCTGCTTCTTATCTAAGGGCTGCCGCCTCTGTCGCCGACCCCACAGATCAAGGGCGTAAAAGACGCCCCTGCCCTGGTTTATGCGGCGCTGTGCGCTGAACCTCCTGCGGGCTGACGGGGTAAACCCGGCGTCCTGGCGGCTCTCTGGCCTGTGGGAGCTCTCAGGAGGTTTACCGACCACGCACTTGTAACCCAGGGCACAGGGCAGTTATTAATACATCGGGTTTAAAAAATATCGGATTTTAATGCATGGCTAAATTATGAATGAAGTTATGCATGAACTCATCGCTGTTTTTAATACTAAATACATGATCCGCACGCGGAGCATGTATTAAAAACTGCCCCGTCGGGGTGTTCTTTCATTCCTCAAAGAGAGGGTACCCGTGCTTTTCTCATGGGGACATCCCGCTCTTGCGCGCGGGGCCGCCCGCGCCTCGCCGCGCGCGGGCGGCGTCGGGCGCGGACGGTGGGGAGGGGGTCCTGCAGAGGAGGTGTTGTCCACGGCGGGTGGCTCCCAGGGAAACGATCGGGCCAGACGAAAGGGGGGGATAGGGGGGGGTACGAAATCTGCTGCATGCAGCTGGTTTCGGCCCCACCGAGGGGCCCATTCCTCAACACATAGCCGCCTCCTGGCGCCGGGAGGCGCCGGGAAAATCAGCTACGGGAGCTGATTCTCAAACCCACCCTTTGCTATCCCCCCCTTTCGATCAGCCCGAAACTACAGTCGGCCCAGATGAGTAGGTCGACCTTGCCAAATCAAGGGTGCCCTTGTGTCCTGTGTCTCGCGACCCATGCTTCCTGCTTTCCCGTGGCAATGTGGCCCTCGGAAGGGTCCTGTGTCTTCTCGCGTGTCCTGTGCAATCGAGTCCGACTGTGACCCACTGCTCTTGATATCAATCCCCTGGGGACGATAAAGTTCGGGGTCCAGGTGGGGATGGTAGACGTTTTCCCAGAGATCTCGGGAGAATGATGAAGATGATGACGATGAAGATGATGACGACGACGACGACGACGACGATGATGATGATGATGATGATGACGATGACGATGACGATGATGATGATGATGATGATGATGATGATGATGATGATGATGATGTTGATGCTGATGCTGATGCTGATGCTGATGCTGATGCTGATGATGATGATGATGATGATGATGATGATGATGATGCTGATGTTGTTGTTGATGATGATGATGATGATGATGATGATGATCCTGGACGCTGCATAGAATCCTTAGGGCATCCTTAGGATTCCTGCGGAAATCAACCGGGTTCCTTTGGAAATTCGTAGGCCTCCTTGGGACATATCCTTAGGATTTGTTAGGACTCCTTAGGAAGTCCATCGGATTCCTTAGGGCATCCTTAGGATTCCTACGGAAATCCACTGGGTTCCTTCGGAAATCCCTAGGACTCCTCGGGACATATCCATAGGATTTGTCAGGACTCCTCAGGGAGTCCATCGGATTCCTTAGGACATCCTTAGGATCCCTCCCGAAATCCAAAGGTTGTCTTAGAAATCCATAGGCGTCCTCAGGAAATCCGTAAGACTTCTTGCGAAATCCATAGGATTCTCTAGGACATCCATCGGATTCCTTAGGGAATCTTTTGGATCCCACAGGAAACCCATAGGATTCCGCAAGACATCCATAGGAGGAGGAGGAGGAGGAGGAGGAGGAGGAGGAGGAGGAGGAGGAGGACCACGAGGAATCCCAGGAGCAGTTGTCCAAAAAAGTTCGAATCGGGATTGGTTTTGTTTGTGTGTAAAGCAAAAATACATTAAAAACACTTCCAATGGCACATGTGTAGGAAGGAGTCCATGGCGGCCCGTTTGCGGTGAGAACAAAACACGCACGTGATACAAACAGTTCGGGGCGGGAACGCAAGGAGGAGGAGCAAACTATTCTTGAGGACATCCATAGAATGCCTTAGGAAATCCATCGGATTCCTTAGGAAATCCATCGGATTCGGTAGGACATCCATAAAAAATCCTTATGCATTCCATCGGAACCCTTAGGAGCCCTTTCTACTCAACATAAGAAGATAGCCATTTCGATTCGCATCTTTCCCCCGCGATAATCAAGTTCGGCCTTGCCGCCCCTCTTCCCCGACCAAATCTGTATTGGCCGTTGATAATCAACTCGCAGGGGTAAGGGGGGGATTCAATGATTATCAGGCGGAGTTGGTTATGCCCGGAGGCTCCAGAGGAGGCTGGCGGTGTCGGGCGTGGCGGGGGGGGGCCTGGGAAGGATATGTCAAGGTCGGTGGCTCCCAAGAAACCATGCCTGGAGGCTCCAGAGGAGGCTGGCGGTGTCTGGCGTGGAGAGGGTCCCGGAAAGGATATGTCAAGGTCGGTGGCTCCCAAGAAACCATGCCCAGAGGCTCCAGAGGAGGCTGGCGGTGTCGAGCGTGGATGGGGGTCCCGGCGGGGTTTTTGCAGGATGGGCGGGGGGACTGGATGGGTTCCGCCGGGTGGGGAGGGACAAGAGCTGGTCCAGCAGGTGTGAGTGTCAGGCCGGGTGGGAGGTCCAGGAGGGGATCCAAGGGTGGTCGGGGGCGATGTTGTGCTGCGAATGGTCAGGTAGGGGGGTCCAAGGACTGGTCCAGCAGGCGGGGGTGCCAGGCCAGGTGGGGGGTCCGCGTGGGGGGTCGGGGTCGATACTGAGTGAGGCATTCTCGAATGGAGGGTCCAGGTGGGGGGTCGGGGTCGGTGTTGTGCTAGGCATTTGTCGAACGCGGGGGTCTCCAAGAACTGATCTGGCAGGGGGGGGCGCGGGGCCAGGAAGGGGTTGGGGTGCGCGGGGCCAGGAAGGGGCCGGGGGGTCGGGGTCGGTGCTGGGCCAGGAGCCGTCGAATGGGGGGTCTCCAAGAGCTGGTCTGGCAGGTGGGGGCGCGCGGGGCAGGGTGGGGGGTCCGGGTGGGTGGGGGGTCTAGGTGAGGGGTCGGGGTCGATGCCAGGTAATGGATTGTCGAGAGGGGGTCTAAGAATTGGTCTAGCAGGAGGGGGTGCCCGTCCAGGTGGAGGTACAGGGGGGGGGTCCAGGGGGGGTGTCGGGGGTCGATGCTGGACTAAGAGTTCTCGAGTAGAAACTAGTAGAGGGTTCCAAAAAATGGTGTGAACATCTGCAATTTTAACAGCTCTCGCCAGCATGTGAGGGCGTGGGTGGGCGTGAACGGGGGTCCAGTGTGGGTGTTGTATGGCATGGGAACGACACTAGCAATCCACAAGCCGAGGGTTTCGTCTTGCACGCCTCGGGGGTCGGCGGATTGTTGCAGATGACGCGCCAGTAGCACACGCCAAGCTCGAGCGCGCCCTCGGGGTCAGCGGGTTCTACTGCCGGGCCTCGCGGCCATCGGCATCGGCTCAAGTCAGGAGGGAAAGAAACACACAGACACAATTAATCGTCGATCCCCAGGAAAATATAGGAAAATATGGGAAGTGGGGGGGAAGACAAAAACCTGGAAAATATAGGAAAATATGGGGAGACCTTTTATTTGTGTGTATTTATGTGTGTGTGTGTCTCAGGGTGCCTTCATCAAGGTGATAACCCTGCCTGCCGGTGAAGCGGCCGACGGCCCCGCACAGAAGCGAGGCACGACGCCGAAGGGGTCTGAGTCTGCCCCCCCTTGGGATGCAACTCCTGGGAGGCCAAATCCTGAGTTTGCCCTGGTCCGGAGTCCGGCTCGATCCCCCGCTTAATCCTGCGCAATCCCGCTCAATCCGGCTTCATCCCGTTTGGTCCGAGGCCCACTCCGACGTAACAGCTTCCAAATGGGGCTTAATCCTCCTTACCCTTTCCGACGAAAACCTCCCAGCAGTTGCCTCCTGATCGTTCTCCCGCCGCCGCGCCGCCAGCCGGCACCGCAGGGCGAGGAGGACGCCGCCGGGCAGGCCCCTCCCGGCGCCGATGCCCGCGAGCTCGCGGAGCTGGAGGCGAGCGTGAGGCGCGCCTCGCGCGCGTGCGCATGCATGCGACGCCAGGGCGGCAGAAGTGCGATTCCTCTCGGCGCTCGTCTCTACGGGGCGTGAAAACGACCACAGCCACTGCTTTTCTTCTGTTGCCGCCTTCCAGCCCGCAGAAACAAAGCAATGGTTGTGGTCGTTTTCGTTGAGCTTGCCACCAGGGAAATGACCACAACCACTGCTTCTTTTTCGGCCGGCTGGAAGGCGGCGCAAACAAGAAGCAGTGGCTGTGGTCATTTTCCCGTCCCGCAGTCTCCGCTACGCGCGTTCTGCGAGCGCGTGTTCGCATCGGCTTCGTCCAACAGATCAGATCACCCGCCTTCTCGGAGCACCATGCCCGCACTGTGGCTGCAATCAGTCTCGGCCCAGAGGGATCTCGAGTTGCCTGGGTCTTCCACGTACGAGCCCTGGGCCAGCCAGCCCGCCTGCGAAGGCTCGGCATCATGGCGTGCTTCTGGCCCGTGGGGTGGATCTTGTCAGGATCCGCGGTGCTGAGCGAGTGGGTGAGTCTTACAGTCAAAAACCCGAATAAGGACGCGCGACTTTACTCAGGGTACCCTTGCGTCCTTGCTCTTCCTTGCTCTTGGGTCCTTGGGGTTTTCGTCGTCCGCCGCCCCAAAAATCCCAACTTCGGCTTCCAAGGGTCTTGCGTCGTTACCGCGCGTCCTTATTAGGGTTTTTGACTGTATGCCGAGCTGGAGGGAGTCGGAGGCTCACGAGGCCTCAGACGTCGAGCCGCTGCTGAAGGGGCAGGCGAACGATGGCGAGCCCTCGTGGCGAGGCAACAGCTCCGAGCTACATGGCATCGCGGGCGCGACCCACGCGCGACCGACCCCGCGACTCACCTACGCTGCTTTGACAGGGGAACAAAAAGTGGCATAAACATAAAAACTCGGAGGTCCTCGCGGATTTCTCGGATCGGCGCTGGACCCCCCTCCCTGGCGCGCGGAGCGCGCCAGGGGCGGCGCCGGAGGCTCCGCCGGGGGGCCCCAGCGCCGATCCGAGAAATCCGCGCGGACCTCAGAGTTGTTATGTTTATGCCTCTTTTTGTTCCCCTATTTGACGAGGGTCCTGGCCCCTTCTGAGGCGGTCGCGCCTGTTAGACCTTCACTGTGGGGGAGGGCTTCCCTCGTTCCTCACTTCGGCCTGATCGCTGGACGTTCTGGCGTTTCATTGGCGCGCCGGATATTCTTGGGATGTCTCAAGGCTGTCCATCCAGCTCCGCCTGCTCCACGAGACCTCCGCAGCATCAGTCTAATGTCTGGTTGCAGTTGCAGATGCTTTATGTGTACAGGCGCTTCTTTAGATCACACTTGTAGTTACATCAGCTTCGTTAGAGAGACCAGCCGCATTCCCTCGGCCTCATACCTGCATTGTGATTGTAGTTCCGGCGGCCCTAGAACCTGACCCTGAGACGAAAACCCTGGGACCGTTGTTTGGCGCCCCGTTTCTTGGAAGAGGATTTTTATTATCCCAGAGCGACCCTACCTAGGAGTTGGAGCCCCGAGGAGAGCAATATTAGTAGTAACGGTGAACGCCGTCCTCCTTCTTCTCCTCATCGTCGCAGTTGTAGAAGTAGCGGTAGTAATAGTAGTAGTAGTAGTAGCAGTAGTAGTAGTAGTAGTAGTAGTAGTAGTAGTAGTAGTAGTAGTAGTAGTAGTAGTAGTAGTAGTAGTAGTAGTAGTAGTAGTAGTAGTAGTAGTAGTAGTAGTAGTAGTAGTAGTAGTAGTAGTAGTAGTAGTATCAGTAGTAGTATCAGTAGTAGTAGTAGTAGTAGTAGTGGTAGTAGTAGTAGTAGTAGTAGTAGTAGTAGCACTACAGCTTAATACCTACATCTACATCTAGACCTACATCCACATCCACACCTACAGCTACATCTACATGTACACATGCATCTACATCTACAACTACATCTACATCTACATCTACATCTACAACTACACTCACATCTACATCTACATCTACACCTACATCTACACCGACATGTACATCTACATATACACATACACCTACATCCACAGCTACACCTACATCTAAATCTGCATCTACACTTTCGCATTGGTTTTGCTTGTGCTTTGCATTGCCTGTGCTATTGCTCTTGCCTGTGCTGTTGCCGTGGCCTTTGCTTTTGCTGTTGCGTTTGCTTTGCTATGCTATGCTATGCTATGCTGCGCTAAGCTATACTATGCTATGCTGCGCTATGCTGCCCTATGATATGCTATGCTATGCTATAAACTGCTGCACTATGCTATGCTAGGCTATGCTATGATATGCTATGCTGCGCTATGCTATGCTATGCTATGATATGATGCGCTATGCTATACTATGATATGCTAGTATGCGCTAGGTTATGCTGTGCTGTGCTGCGCTATGCTATGCTATACTATGCTATGCTATACTGCGCTGTGCTATGCTAAGCTATGCTATGCTATACTATGATATGCTATGCTGCGCTATGCTATGCTATGGTAGACTATGATATGCTGCGCTGTACTATGCTGCGCCATGCTATGATATGCTATGCCATGCCATGCTATGCTAATACTGCGCTAAGCTAAGGTAAGCTAAGCTGAGCTAGGCTAAGTAGGCTAGGCTAAGCTAAGCTAAGTTAAGCTAAGCTAAGCTCAGATGATATAAGCAACGCTAAGCTAAGGTGGCGCAACTGGGGGAACCGCGGGGCGGATACTGGGGGAACCGCCCAGGGCGAGGAGCACTGCCCGGCCCCTTTAAGCCCAGTGAGTAAGAATCCTCTAGGCAGAGCCTAGGTAGGGAAAAAGCTTCGAGGCGAATTGGGTCAAGTACAACAGGGTGTCCTGGCCCTTTTTGAGGCGGCCCCGCGCTTCGAGCTCTCACTGAGGGAGCTTTCCATACTTCACCCTGCCTGAGGGAGTTTCTCGATTTCCAGTGGTGCGTCGGATGTTCCCCAATCAGAGCTTGCATTCGTAGGGGTCCTAGCGGATTCATATGGTTAGATTGGCTGCGTCGCCGATTTTGGCGGCCCGCCCGGGTGCCCGGGTGCCCAGGAGTTATAGCCCTACAGCCCTTTAGCCCTATAGCCCAAGAACCTTAACAGCCCAATAGCCATATAGGCCTATAGCCCTCTAGCCCTATAGACCTACAGCCCAATAGCCCTATCGCCCTACAGCCCTATAGCCCTACAGCCCTACAGCCTTACAAACCAATAGCCATATAGCCCTATAGCCCAACAGCCCAATAGCCCTGTAGCCCTATAGCCCTATAGCCCCTTAGCCCCGTAGCCCTAGGACCCCCCCGGAAGCCATCGTACACTGTGCTGTATGATTAAGTATGCAGATGTATTTGTTTGAATTCTGCGCCACACCCCGCCAAGAAGCTCTGAGCAGCATCCGCCACGTGTTGCGCCATACACTGCGGCAGATACCCCGCGGGCAACCAAGGCGTCCTATGCCTTATTCCGCTCGCCTTCTGTTTTTGAAATCTGGGGGCATGTGTTGATTCTATCGGGTCTTCCACAGGTTGCGCCAGACACCCCGCGGGCCACCCAGCCGTGGTACCGTTACTGCCAAAGCAACAGTCCTACCTGAAATGTTTTGGATGGGTGGGAGATGCGGGCCGAGGAGGACAACACGAGGTTGGTGGAGGAGGAGGAGGAGGGGGTGAGGAGAAGAAGGATGAGGAGGGAGGAGGTGGATATGTTGGCGGCCCGCACCTGAGGGTGGCACGACCCGCTCCCGAGCAGGTGGGAGGGTCTTTATAGAAGGCATCTGGTTTTCCAGAGGGGGCACGAGGCGTCTACGAGGCCTCGGAGAGCAAGGAGGGCCTTTGACAAGGCCCAATCCCTTCGTACAACCCTTGCGCCTCCAATTGTAGAGGGATGGGTGAGGACCAAGTGGAGGAGGAAGAAGAGGCGGAGGATCGAGGAGGGGTGCCGATGATCGAGGTGAGGGGGAGGAGTAGGAGGAGGATCTCGAGGAGGAGGGGGGTCGATGATCGAGGAGGAGGAGGATAAGGACCAGTGGCAACCCAAGACGCACCAACGATGTTGCAATACACCCTCTCTCCAAATCCCCTCTTCATAAGTACATGCAAACATTTACGTTCACCTCTGGAAGTGCCCTTTTGGGAGACAACCATCTGAGAACCCCCAATCGTGCCAAAACACCACCCAGCGCCACGAATCATTTTTAATGTTGCGTCCTGACGATCGTGCATCGCGCCAGATTACCGTTCGTGTGGGTCAGACACAGCGGTTCATATTAAGTGATGATGCGTTCTAGTAGGGAGGCGAACCATAAGACATTTTGACGACTGGCTGTATTTTTGTATTACGAATTTGCGTGGCGCTATGGTGATATCAGCATTTAGAACAAGCGCCGCCTTCCATTTGTGAACCTCCTACACGCATTGAAGGCAATTGCGCGCACATGATTGAACGGGACCGCCCGCCGCGCGTATGCGAGATCTGCAATTTGAAAGGGAGCCGCCCACTACCCGTGAAGCTCTTGCAAGCGTTTAGGACGATTGTGCGCGAGGCGAATGTAAGAGCCACATTTGAACAGGAGCCGCCGTCCGCACGTGAATGGTTTGCACACTTTGAAGGCGAATGTTCGCTGGCGTCTGACGAGACGACATGTTGAAACGGAATCGCCTCCCATCCGCCAAACTCTTGACGGATGTGCGCGGCGCTAAGGCGAGAGCCACGTTTGGAAAAGGAGCCCGTTCCATCAGTGAGGACTCTTGCAAGTTGTTAAGACGAATGTCCGCGGCGCGTATGCGAGAGCAGCATTTTTACACGGGGCCGCCCTCGACCCGTGAGGCTCTTGCCAGTGTTTAAGGTTAACGCACGCGGCGTTGAGGCGACGGCCACATGTTGAGAGCCACCTGTCCTCCATCCGTGAAGGCGTTGCATATTGTAGGCCTCAGGATCACACATGGTCGTGTCAAGTCTCAGGCGAGCCGCCCAGCCCGCCCTACTGACACGCCTCGGGGTGCGACAGGGATGACTTACCACAAGGGAGCAGGGGTGGAGGAGGAGCGAGGAGGAGGATTGAGGAGAAGACGGAGAAGGAGGAGGAGGAGGAGGAGGAGGAGGGGGAGGGGGAGGGGGTGGAGGAGGAAGGGGTGGGGCATCTCGGGGAGGAGGATCGCGGAGGCGGACGTGTGAGGCTCGAGGAGGAGCGAGGAGCCGGACGGAGCTGGGCCTCCTTCCCACTCCTGCCCGCGCGCGTGGGCCGCACCCTTCCCCGCCCAGGGCGGCGGCGGCCTCCCGCGACGCGCTGGTCGAGGATTCGCGCGGCAGCGGGGAGGGTGATGCATTAGATTTGTATGTATAGTGGTATTTCAATCTATTGGAGGTGGACAGACCTCCTACCCTGACACGTCGATTAAGGAATTGGCCGTTTTCGCTTCGCGGGAGGGCGTCGCGGCCGTCATTTTTGCGGCTCCAGGTCCGTCGATTGCGGTCCCAGGCCGTTTTCACTAAGGGAGGTTTGCGAAAGGGAGGTTTGTCCACCGCCGAATATACGGCGTAAGTATTGCAAATATATGTATATACATGTGTATATATATATACATACATACATACATATACATATACACATGAATACCAACGAGGTCCGTAACCATTTTTGACTCAAGCCAGGCTTGCCATTGGTTGCGCCAATGAGCCTGCCCGCTGTGCATGGTGCCTCCCACCTTGGCTCGGACCTGAGAAGATGGTAGGCCCTGCCTCGCTCTTCCGCGGTGTTGCTGCTGTCCTGTCGCTCGGCGCCCGCTGCATCCTCGTGTGTTTGCAGATCACGCTGCACTCCATGCTGGTCCGCCCGTACGGGTGTGATTTCGCGGCGACCTCGTTCGCTATCAAGTCGATCCCGCTCCTGTGGCTGGTGCGGGTTCTGCGGCGCCTCAACGCTGCTGCGAACCGGGCGAAACATGCGACTTTCTTATCGTGCATCCCTTCTTTCTGGGGACGTGCGGAGCGGCCTCCTCGGAGGGCACCGTGGAGTGAGGAGAGTTTCGAATTCTGTGACTGTTTGCAAGAGACTTTCACGTTGTGCCTGGCAGACCTTTTCCCCGAGAAGGCCTACTGCAATCGAGTGCCACATTAATCGAATGAGTTGCTTCAATTTGACGCTGCTGCTGGAGGCCTTAGTTATGATGAACATGCGTTTGCCCCTGTGCGGTCGGATGAAGCACTGCTGCCATTACGCTGTTGCAAGAAAGGTTGGGGGAGATGGCGCAGAGTCCCTTTCCAGAGCCACCTGCGAGCGCGCTTGCTGATTCGACGCTCGTATCGCTGGTTTGGCAAAGAGCTTGGGCAGACCTGTCAACGACTCCTTGGTCCTGCGTCTTCCCTCCAAGCTGAAGACACTGGGCTTTACGTCTTCCGTGGATTGTGAATCCTTTGTGCAGGAGAAGCTGCAAGAGCACAAGGAAGCACTGGAGAAGGGGTTCCCGACTACCGTGAGTGAACACAGCGCTGGATGCATTTAATCTCGCCGTCGTGGAGGACCCCATGACGAATCTCTCACCGGTTTGCACTGCTCTGGACAGTTCGCTGCGCCACGACCTCCTCGAGCTCCGGCAGGACCTGGAGGGCCAGCTGCAGGCATTCCATCCTAGGCCTTGCGATTCCGACACGCCGAAATGGACGGTAAGCTGTTGGCCGCGCCTCCCGCTCCTGAGTGCGCGGAGCTACCTGCTGCAACTCCTCTCGGCGTCGCGTTCGAGGCTGGCGAGCTGGTCATTGCCCATGGTCTGGCGCCCAGCGGGCTCAACGGGCACGTGGGCAGAGTGCGCGGACATCGCGGGGACCGAGTCCAAGTCGAGTTCCTGGAGTGGACGGCATCAAGCCGATCAAGCCGACGAATCTTCGCCACGTTGTGGACGAAGAGCTGAAAGAGCACGACGGATGTCTGGGGCAGCCGTCGTCTTTTGGTGCTTCCTCCGCGACTTCTACCTCCGGCGGGCATCCTCGTGGCCCTAAACTACCAAGGGGAACTTCTACGATGACCTATGAGCAGGCTGCCGCCCGCTCCCGATAGCCAGACTGAACCTCGATGTCCAATGCACGGGTGACATGTATACCACCGAGGCTGTCAGGAGGGGAAGAAGATCCAGAATGCACATGACGCGGGAATTACGTCGGGGCGAGGCTGCCGGGATATGCAGATGCATTTACATGTCTGTCTACATGTATGGCGGCCGCGGTGAACTGTCGGGCTGCTCGTTCGCAGCCCGGACCACCCCCCATCCCTCTCAGCGGGCACGCGGCGCATGTCGTTGCAACCGCGCGTTTCGATCCCAAGCGGCAGGCCTTCACTTGCACGTGCCGCGTAATGTCCATCTCCGGTTCGCGGGCGACTTCCCCGCAGCGCGAGGGGGGGCGCCGCAAACTTAATTGAAACGTCTGACACCTAGCGCGGCCTTCGGGAATCGACGCACGTCGGTGGGAACCTCTCCAGAAGTGCCATCGCTGGCAGCACGAAACGCCACGCAATCAATTTGCTCTCGGATCGCGGATTTGTTTACATAGAACGGGTGGTGTTAGCGACCCGTTGTGTTGGCACTTGTCAGTTTCACTTCCGCGATGCGGCCAGTTGTTTCATTGGTTTTGGCCTGCGCTGGAGGGGGGCCCGTGCTGGCGGATCCCTCGACGTCGATATGGCCCTTGTCGCGAAGAGCCCAGTCTCGTCGTCAAGGCCATGTTGCCCCCCCCCATCGTCTCCACAAGCCTTGTCTGTCATGGGGCCAGTGCAAGCCTGGATTGAAGAGCTCCCTACCGATCGCAACTGGGCCTGATTGGCTCGCTCTGGGACGGCCACCCAGCAGCCGACCATCGCCGTCATGGTAGCGCGGCCGATCGTCTCCCTGCCCCTTCCAGGTGGGCTGCCACGGCCCGACGCTCGCCTGATCGCGCCAGTCGGCGGAGTGACGAAGGCCAGCCATGCGCAGCCGCAGCGCGCGCAGCTCGGGCCCCCGCCGCAGCGCCCCCCTCTCGCAGATCCGCGCCGCCCCGCCAGCGCGCGGCTGGCGTTGGCCGCGGTCGGAGCCCATGGCTTGCCCCCCGCGAGGACCCGTGCCCCGTCTTCATCGGAGGGTTTGGCGACGTCGGCTCAGGGGGCGGGGCGAGACCTCTGAGCCAGGAGTTGCAGCTTTCTTCTTTGTCGGTAGGCCGCTGAGGGCTCTATCGTGCTGGAGGTGCATTGCTGGGCGCCGCTGAGCCCTCAGTATCAGACGTTCGGGATGGCTTTGGAATGTTAGAAATACAAGTGGTGCTCACGTTTCCGCTGCGCGCTGCCGTGGCCACAACGCCGCGCGGACGGTGTCAATGAGGGTGCCGTTGGTCGCTCGGTCGCCAGTTCGTTCCTGTTCGGTTTCAATTCGCGTTGCAAATACGGATCCGCCCCGCAGGCGTCGCCATTGCCGAAAATATGATGCGACGCTCAATCCCATCGCTGAATTTCGACCCATGTGTTATCTACTCACGCTCTGCCCATACTGTCACCGTGCCAGGGTTGTGGGTCAGGGCCCTTTGGTGTCATATTAGGGTATCTTGGTGTGCCTCTCGCGGGTCTCTTTCAAATCTTCTTGGGGGCCTCCTCGGGCCCGCTGGCAGAATCTTTCTGTGGATTCCTGGGGTGGGGGGGTCAGACTATCAGTTCGTGCCCCTCCTCTTTGGGGGCCTCTTTGGCCGTCCTGGGGCCCGCTCGGGCCACGATGGGGGCATCCTGCCATGTTGGGGAGATGTTGTGCGCCTCTTAGGACGTTTTGGGCGTTCGGAAGACCTAACAGGCGACAGCGCTAAAATCAATGAAACGCTCAGGAACATCAATGATGTTTGCCTCTTGAGCCTACTTGGGGGTTCCTTTGTGGCCCTATCGGGGCATATCGGGGGCGTTTCGGGCGATCTCTAGTCCATCCTGGGCGTCTTGGACCGCTCTTGGGCCGTTTCGGGACGTACTTGGACTGGTTTGGGCGCCTTTTGTGACCCTCTTGTTCCTTACTGCGGACCTCTGGTCTCCGGTGTGGTCACGCGACCGGCCCCAGGAGACGCAATGCGCCCAAGACTATCCCAGTCTCAGTGTTGAGGACCTGCCAGATCTGTTGCAGAAGGTAGACTTGTCGAAATCCTTGGAAGTTGCTTCGACCGGTGGGAAACTCGCGAGGTCAAGGACTTGGTCGCTGCCGCGCGGGAGGCTCACTGTGATCTTGGAAACCCGGCATCTGACTCCGCATGATCTTCCGGAGGCTTTGAGGTCATACCCCTGCGCAGTCGGCAGGGGAGTAAACGGGTGTATTCTTGAGTGGACAGCGAAGCCTTCCTGCCGTGAGGTTTATAGTGCCTACAGGTGCTGGGCCTTTGGCTCACATTTCCGCTGCCCGAGGGTTGCTGATCTGACAACCTGCCTTCTTCCATGGTCGATCTGTCAGCTGTCGGTAGCGCGGTTCAGTGCCAGCGCTGGCGCCGACCAAGTTCATGTCGCACAGGCTCCGACGGGCGACGCCGCTGTCGAGGGGCAGACCGTTTCCGTTGTCCCGCTCGGATTTGGCTGGGCGCGGCGCCAGTGCTCGCCGCCGGGCGGGCGGGGGGCAGGAGAGCGGGCTCCGGAGCCAGGAGTGCCCGCGGCCCGGTCGCAGGCGGTGGCGTCGCAGTCGGTGGCGTCTGGCTGGCTTTCGCTTCGGCCTCGAGCTGCTGCTGCTGCTGCTGCTGGCGCCCCTCCAGGGAGCTGGCGGCCTGTCCGTTCTGGAAGGAGAACAAGGCAGTCAATGCTGTCATCGTTGTCGTGGTCGGGGGCGGAAAAGAGGGGGGTGATGACTAGGGGGGGGTGGATATCATGGCGGGGGCGCCATGACATTTCCTCAGATTTCATGGCGCCTCTTCTTATTTCATTACGTCCCTGGTCCCCCCGCGGGACCGCGCACATGCCGCCGGTCATGATTTGCACCCCCCCCTCTTGCCCCTGTTGGCCGCTCCCGACATGGGTGTGATCGTTGTTCTCGTTGTTATCGTTGCCCTCGCTGCGATCGTTGTCGCTGGGATCGTTGTCGCTGGGATCGTGTCGCCGCCGCGGGCGGCCCTGGAAGCAGGGTGGAGAACGGGCGAGCGCTTTGCATTGCTCGGACGCGTGTGCGTTTCTTTCGGCGAGGACCATCGAGGACCATGCTTGATCATTTGGCGAAAAAAAAAAAACACGCACGAAATCAAAACATACACGAGGAATGGACGTCCGAGCGATGGCGAGTGCATCGCTCGGACGCGTGTTTTTTTTTTCCCGGCGAGGAGCGTCGCGGGCCATGTTGGGTCAAGCTGCGAAAAATTACGCGCACGAAGCCACAAAATATGCGCGAGGAGTGGAAGTTTCCGAGCGATGGCGAGGGCGGGGCCTGCGAGCGGCGGCCACCGGCCGGCGCGCCCCTCAGGAGCTGCGGGCCGCCCGCGGCGGCGCTCCGCCGCCCGACGCCTCGGCGGCCGCCGGCGCCGGCGCGGGCAGCGCCGGCGGGGGGCAGGTCGTCTCGGGGCGGGATTCATTATTCAGCGAGCGGAAAACGGTATAAAAGAAAGTTTCCGCCGTCGGGGACACCTGCCCCTGGGCGGCTGGAAAGTTTATACCCCTACGGTGCCACCGTAAGGGTATAAAGTGTCCAGCCGCCCTGGGGCAGGTGTCCCCGACGGCGCAAAAGTTTATTTGATACCGTTTTTCGCCCGTTAAATTATCGAAGGCCTATCGCCGATAGGGGCCCGATAGCCCCACCCCGCCCAGGAAGGGTCGGGATTCACTGTCGGAGGCCTGTCGCCGACCTATCGGCGACGTATCGCCGAGTTCAGGGCGATGCATCCCCCCCTATGCCTCTGTCGGGCGTGCCCCCCCACAGGGGGATTTTTTTCGACGAAAAAGGAAGAACACCCCCAAAATAGCAAAGAGTAGTAGAAAAATAGTCTGGGGACTATTTTTTGATCATTTGCTTGCCTTTTTGGGGCATGTCTGGGGTATTTTTTGTTTTTCGTCGAAAATCCCCCTGTAGGGGGACAGGCCCGACATAACCCTATGCCACTCCCCCCTATCGTTGCCCCTCACATGAAGGGTCGAAGGACCGGCCCAGGGCCCTGGCATCGCTCGGACGTGTGCACTTTTTCTCGGCGACGGCCATCGAGGACCATCCTTGATCATTTGGCGAAAAAAGCACGCACGAAATCGAAAAATACACGAGGAATGGACGTCCACGCGATGGCGAGCAGGGCTGGGAGACCATTCTTGTGGTCCTGTCCCCTCCCAGCCCTTCTCGAGCCGGCGCGCGCCTGGGCGGTCGACGGTCCAGAAGGAGCCGAAGCGAGGCGAAGCCGAAGATTCGGGCACTCCATTTTCGGGAGGGAGAAAATAACACAGACACAATAGATCGTCGATTCCCCAGAAAAGATGGGAAAATATAGGAAGTGGGGGGGAAGACAAAGAGCCCAGAAAATATGGAAAATATGGGGAGTCCTGTGATTTGTGGGTCTTTATTTGTGCGTCCCAGGGCCCCTCCACAGTTGGGAAGTCGTTCCCCCCGCACTCTTTTAGGAATCGCCATCGGAATGACACTGTTCGCCCGGGAGCCTCGTCGAAGACAGGGGCGATCGGAGGCTCTGGATACACGCGCTGCTCTTCCCGGGGCTCCTCCTCCTCCTCCTCCTCCTCCTCGTCCTCGTCCTCCTCCTCCTCCTCCTCCTCCTCCTCAGTCAACCCGCATAGTAAGGATGGGCAACCTTCCCAAGGGTACCCTTGCATCCTTGCGTCGTCGGCCCATCCTTGGCCTCTTTCCTCGGCCGCGCCCCGCCCGAAGAGCTTCGGAATGGGCGTCCAAGGGCCCTTTGCATCCTCATCGCGCGTCCTCGTGATACGGGCCGACTGCGTTGCTTTCCCCTGGGCCCTTTGCCCTTCTCGCCGCCTCCAGTTCTCGGGAGCGCGCCCCGCGCGTTCCTGGGGCCGTTGGCCTTCCGCCGCCTCCTCTGCTCCCAGACGGCCTGGTGTTCGACGTTTCTCAAGCGCGCGGGGGATGGGGGGCTCACCCTCGTCTCTGGGCATCCTAGATGGGGCCCGAGTAGATAGGGGTCGGAGGATCGCGCCGTATCGGCGATGCAGTGGCGATGCGGCTCGATGTGGAGCGAGATCTTCTCCACGCTGGCGTCGCCGATGCATCGCCGATGTATCGGCGATGCGCCGCGATCCCCCGACCCCATCTACTGCGACCCCATCTAAGAGGCCTTTTTATCGTCGCCACGTCAAGTCATACCGCCCCCCATGACGGGCTCGGGGTATTGTTGATGAGGGTGGAGGGCGAGCGCGCGGACATGCGGCGTCACGGAGCAGGTCGTGACAGCCGGGCTCCCGCGGTCTTCGGAGACTCCAGCAACAATCTTGAATGCAAGGCTGGACCCTGGAAGGGGTCGCGAGGTCTGGCGGCCTGCGTCACGAACAACACAAGGCATGGCGAATGGGCGCCTGGGGTTCAGTCGGGCCTGTCCCTCTACAGGGGGAATATTCAAAAATAATCAAAACATAGTCTGGGAACGATTTTTTCCCAACCATCCTGTGGTGTTGGGTCCTCGTTTTGAAGAGACAGCGCCCCGCGTCCAACCTTCCTCCATCCTCCTCCTCCCCCCTCCTCCCCACCCCCCCTCCCAGTGCAGCGTTTCGTAGCCCCATAGGGAGCTCCACCGAAGGCCCCAGTGGGGGTGCCCGCATGCGGTCCCCCCACCCAGGGCAGCGTTTCGTGGCCCCATAGGGAGCTCCACCGAAGACCCCGGTGGGGGTGCCCGCATGCGGTTCCCCACCACCACCACTGTGGCAGGCCCCTCACACAGTTCGTGGCCACATAAGGAGCTCCACCGAGGACGATATTTACAACTGCGGTACTCACAACTGCATATGGTGGGGTCCGTCGCCAGGCTAATTGGACTATTGTTGCCTATTTGGGGTGTATTTTTTTGAGTATTTTTTACTTGTCGCCCAAAATCCCCCTTTACAGGGATACGCCCGACTTAAGCCTGGGGTGGAGGAGGTTCGAGGTCCTGGGAGGTTCGCCACGCAGCAAGCGGGTCCTGGCAGTTCTGGTTCGCAGTCTTCGGCCACGGGTCAGGAGGACGAGCTGGCCCTCGGGAGAGGCCTCATGGTCTTCGGCCTTGGTTAGGAGGGAGGAGGAGGAGGAGGAGGAGGAGGAGGACGAGGAAGAGCTGGCCCCAGGCCTGGTCCTCAGGACCCATTTCTTGCATACCGGTAGGAAGTAGCAGGTGTTCTGTCGGGGGATCCAGGGGCTTCCGGGAGTCCCCCGTTCTCGTTCTTCCCCCATCATCCTTCACCCTCCGTCCTCGTCAGCTCGCTTCCTTCCTGCTGCTCCCAGTCTCCCTTTCCTGTCCCCGTCACCCCCCGATGAGGAGGAGGAGGAGGAGGAGGAGGAGGAGGAGGAGGAGAGGAGGAGGAGGAGGAGGAGGAGGAGGAGGAGGAGGAGGAGGAGGAGGAGGAGGAGGAGCTTGAGGGCGAAGACGAGGCGAAGGGCGGCGTTGAGGACCAGGAGGCGGAGCAGGCAGATGAGGAGGGGAGGGGGGGAGGAGGGAGGAGGAGCGGGAGGAGGCAGGAGTAGGGGGGGGGGTAGGAGGGGGAGGGGAGGTGGGGAGGGGGACAATGCAGGAAGTAGGAGAAGGAGGGGCAGGAGGAGCGGAACAGGGGAGGGGAAGGAGGAGGGGGAAGGAGGAGGGGAGGAGGGGAGGAGGGCGGGGGAGGAGGGGAGGGGGGGAGAAGGGGGGGGGAGGAGGGGAGGAGGGGGGGGGGAGGAGGGGAGAGGGGGGGGGGAGGGGTAGGATGGGCAGGAGGGGGGAGGATGCTACGAGAGAGGAAGGGGGAGAGTCATGAGGGGCGAGCAGGAGGAGGAGCAGGGGGTGAACGCAGGGCGTCAGAGGAGGAAAAGGTACTAGTACCGCCACGCTTCGCCCGTGCTCCCCTTTTTGAGGCCTCCTGGGAGGCCCTCGTCGCCACCGCTGGATTCGCCTCGAACGCACCTCGGGAGAGTTCCGGAGATGAGCGGTATGGGTACCTTTTGGCTTCCCCAGGGCGGAGGAGGATGAGGGATGTCGAGACTCGTCCGCATGCAGGGAGGGGAGGGGAGGGGTGGAGACTCCTCCCCTTCATCCTCGGCTCATCGTTCAACCCTTCCTCTCCTCGTCCCCTGTGCCTCCTTCAGGGGGCGGAGGCGTTGCATGCACGTTTTCACGCGCAGCAGCCAAGATCACATGTCGGTAGGTCTCTGACGTCCTCCTTCCTGATTCGTCATCTTCACGCCTCCTTCCACCTCCCGTTTGTATCATTCCTCTAATGTTTTGCCTCGTCCCTTCTGCCTTCACTCGTTCTTCCCGTCGCCCAAAGCCTTCTGGCTCTGGACGACGACGAGAAGGCTATAGTACAGTCAACCCGCATAGTAAGTACGGGCAACCCTCCCAAGGGTACCCTTGCATCCTTGCGTCCTCGATCCATCCTTGACCACTTTTATTGGCCGCGCACCGCCCGAAAAGCTTCGAAATGGGCGTCGAAGGCCCATGCATCCTCATCGCGAACCCTCATGAGACGGGCCTGCTGCAGTAAACCTAGCAGTTATCACCAGTGCTGCAACACACCCTTCCGTCGAGCAACATCACCAGCGTCGACGATCACAACACAGGAGGGAAAGAAACACACAGACACAATTAATCGTCGATCCCCAGGAAAACATGGGAACATATGGGAAGTGGGGGGGAAGACAGAAACCCAGAACATATGGGAAAATATGGGGAACACGTTTATTTGGGTGTCTTTTTTTTTGTGTCCCAGGGCCCCTTCAACAACAGCGACGACAGTCACGACGTCGACGTCGGCCACCGCGGCCGTGGGCGATGACCGCGGCGACGCTGGCGATGTCGACGCCGCCGCTGCCCTCTGCAGCGAGAGGGCTCAGGCCGCGCGCCGCGCGCGGTGGGCCCCGCGCGTGGCGCGCGCGCGCGGCGCGCGGTGGGCCCCGCCCTTCTGGCCCTCGCTACCGTCAGGAGGGGAAAAACGCACAGAAACAATGAATAATCGTCGATCCCCCAGAAAAAGTATTGGAAACTATGGGAGGTGGGGGTGAGGACAACAAAAAAACAAAAAAGTAGGGGGAATCTGGTTTTTTGTTTTATTTGTGTGTATTTGTTTATGTGTCCTGGGGCCCCTTCATGCAGCCCCGCTCGCTTGCCGCTGCCGCCTTCGCTCTCCGCGGCCGCCGCCGCCGTCTCGGTGGAGGCTCGGGGCCGAGCCGCCGCCCGTCGCCGCCTGCCGTCGCCGCCTGCCGCCGAGCGCCGAGGCTCGTGGGCGTGCCCGGGCCTCCCGGGGCGCCCTCGTCCCCACGGCCGCATCCGCCTCGAGGCGGGGGGGGCCGGACGCCACCCCACGGCGACCCGGGGGCCACCGCCGCCGTCGAGTTTCCAGGCGCTCCTGGAAACGCTCAGGAGGGAAAAACACATAGACACAATTAATCGTCGATTCCCCCGAAAATATATGTGAAAATATGGGAAGTGGGGGCGAAGACAGAACCCCCCAAAAATATGGGAAAATATGGGGAATCTTTTTATTTGTGTCTATTTATTTGTGTGTCCCAGGGCCCTTTCAAACGCGAGCGACCCAGGAGGCGGGCGCGCGAAGAAGGAGTGAGCATCGCACCTGGTGGCGCCCGCCGCAGCTGGTTTCGGCCCCGCCGCGGGGCCCACTCCGCGATGCATGGGGCGCCTCCTGGCGCCGGGAGGCGCCGAGGAACTCAGCTACGTGAGCTGATTCCCCAACCCCCCTTATCGCCCGGCCCGAGAAAGGGCGCCAGGGGGGTGGGGGCCAGGTGCCCAAAAATGTATACCAGGATGGGTCGAGTGCGGCCGGGTGGGATGAACGACGGGAACGGGACGGGTAACAAGAGCATCGCGACTCAGTGCTTGGCTCCTGGAAAGGCTCCGGGGTGCTCTGCGGTGGCGACCCAGACGGCCGAAAAAGCAGCCAAGAAGGCGCCCAGAGAGCTCGGGGGTGGCCGAGAGGCGGTCAGGATGGCCGCAGAGAGTATTCGCATATCCCACGAAGGAAGGAGGAGCTCAGGGAGACGCACAGGAGCTCCAACAGAGGCGCACGGAGAAGCCCGAGACTGTTGGAATTGCCCCAAAATCCTACATGTTTCACTCGGTTTGTTGCTCGTGGGGGCTTGCAGGCGTTTTGAATCCGACCGAAGGTGGAGAGGCATCCAGAATGGCCCAAGGTGGCCGCAACGACCGGCAAATTGAGCCCAGGAGGGCCCCGAGAGGCCCCCCAAAAATCTGGCTTGAGAGGCTACCCCAGAGATTTCTGAGAGGACCTGGCGGCGCTCAGAACACCATCGGCCACGCGAAGAGGGGGGTAGCGAGAGGGGGGAGGGCCTCTTGGAAGCACCCCTGCTTCTCAGAAGGCGCGGGCCTTCTCTGTATATGCAAGGCCGACGCCTTTTCAGAGGCAGCCTCCTTCTAAGGCGCCTTGCCCCCTCCCCTTGCCCCCATGTTCAGGGGCAACGATGGGGGGGGATAGGCATAGGGGGGGATGCATCGACCCCCAATCGCCCATTGATCGCCGATAGGGGCCCGATAGCCCCACCCCGCCCAGGAAGCTGCGGATTCATGATCGGGGGCCTATCGCCGATCTATCGGCGATATATATCGCCGATTCCAGGTCGATGCATCCCCCCCTGTGCCTATCCCCCCCCCCATCCTGGCCCCCCACTCCCCCCTGCCCCCATGTGCGCACCGCCGCCACCAGCGCCCGAAGCGGACGCCGTTCTGGGACGGAGGTGGTGGCCAGGAGGCGCCCCCACTGGGGCCTGAGGCCCTCGGGCCGGGGCCGAGTGGAGCGATTCCCGGGGCAGGATCCCAGGCGGGTATGGCCAGAACCCCAGAGGTAGGGGGACCCGGCCAGTGGTAGGGCCCCAGAGCCCCCAGATTGGCCAGGATCACCAAGCCAGGTCTGCCGCAGCTAGGTTGTTTTTCGGGTGGCGGCAGTTCCGGGTAGTGGAACGGGGCGGGGGGGGCGACACATCACTAAACCAGGTCCTTTTGAACCCAATTCTGCCAACGCCCGACCCAGGAGGAGGAGCTCGGAGAGGCTCAGAGGCAGAGAGCCGGGGAACGAACAGTGACATAAACATAACAACTCGGAGGTCCGTGCGAACCCTTGAGTTTTTATGCTTACGTGATTGCTCGTTCCCCTAGAGGGCGCGCTGGTATGGAGACCCAGGAGAAACAGCCCTTGCAGCTCCTGCGGTGGTGATCTCACGCGCCGTACCGGGCTGCGGGCGGCGGAGTCGCTTAGCTCATGCTGCCAGCCCGTACTGCATTTGGGGTTTAGCGGCCTTCGGCCGCACTGGTGCGTGGACAAGAGAGAGGCTTCGTCGGGAGGCTTGCGGTGGTCTCCTGGGAGGCCTCTCGGGGATCCCGCGGCTGCATTGTGGGGACTGTTGACGGCCTCTTGGGGTCTCCCGGGGGTTTCTTAGGGGGCCTCCTCCTCCTCCTCCTCCTCCTCCTCCTCCTCCTCCTCCTCCTCCTCCCTCCTCCTCCCTCCTCCTCCTCCTCCTCCTCCTCTCCTCCTCCTCCTCCTCCTCCTCCTCCTCCTCCTCCTCCTCCTCCTCCTCCTTCCTCCTCCTCCTCTCCTCCTCCTCCTCCTCCTCCTCTTTCCTCCTCCTCCTCCCTCCTCCTCCTCTCTTCCTCCCTCCTCCTCCTCCTCCTCCTCCTCCTCCTCCTCCTCCTCCTCCTCCTCCTCTGGGGGTCGGGGGTCCATCTTCTGGGAGAGAGGGTTCCACATGGCAGCTCGGATTCCAATCTGACTGGCCTCCTGAGGCCCTCTTGGGGGCCTCTGGAACTCCCTTGGGGGCCTCGTGCGCCGTCGTGGGCCCTCTTTAGGCCCTCCTGGAGACCTCTTGGGCTGTCTTGGGACGATATTGGATGCCTCCTAGGCTGTTTTGGGGGGTCGGAAGCACGAAAAGGCGCTGACGCGACAATTATTCAAACCTTTCGGGGAGTCATTGAAAATTGCCCCTGAGGGCCTCGTGACGGTTTCTCTTAGAGCTCTTTGGAAGCATTTCGGAGGCGTCCAGGGGCATACAGAGATTATTGAATCGCTTCGCTC